TTTTTTGCAGTGATTCTATCTCATTCTGTAAGCTATTCTGGTTAATGTTAGATGACTGTAAAGACGGGAGATTTTATAAAGTAATCCCTGATAGCTCCTAAACAGAGAGTTAGAAGGTTTCTCATGACTATGAATAACAAGTTTTTTTAAAGGAGACTTGAAAACAAAGTTCTAAATAGTAACGCATTCTAAAACAGAAAAATCACAACCAGGCAGTGACCCAAAAGTTATGGTTTTTCCTAAGTGCACTTAGAGAACAAACAAAGGAGCATTCTGGTTGAATTATAAATTGGGTATATGCATCATCTGTACAGATTTTATTGCATATATTCTTTACTTTCAACTTAATAGCAAATTGTTGGGTGAATCCATACACTGCATAACATGTCCGCGTTTCATTGTGTGTAGATATTTTATCAATCTATTGCAGTACTTGTGCCTGAATGTGGGAGCCTGGGTACCAGGTAGTGTTTTTTTGATACAGTTGAAGCTGTGGCAAAAGGCGACTCTGCAAGGCTGTTATGCTTCATTGGCCTTACCCTGACTCAGGGTAAATTCTCTCCCTTGTTGACTACGCCACAGTAAGATGGATCGCCTAATTCAACAAGTCAAACTTATCCTTGAATCACTTCTCTAAAGTAAAAACCAGGAAGGAAGAAGTTTTATGATAATTTCAGTAAAAATTGTACCCTCCAGTGATTCTTTAGCCTTGGAAATCAAAATGTTTAAGGAAAGTAAGAGGCTTTACACATAAAAATGAAGGCCCTAAGTGGTCTAAAAAATATGTTATTTGTTCAGGACTTCCAGGTTCTAGTCACTGTTAAATCAACAATCTGGACTGATGTGATTGTTTCAAACTGGCAGTAAACTGAGCTCTGACACATTGCTCTCACACTTCCATTCTTCAGAGGAACAAGAATAAAATACAAAACATTGTAACTTTTTATTTAATAATTTTTAACTATTAGCATTATTAGCTATTAGCACAGCTAAACAAGCTGTGTTGTTTCCTTGTATCTTTTCATACTGTATTTAAATTGCCTTGTTTTATAGCCAAAGGAAATATCTTTCTATCTCCCAGAATCTTAGAATTGCCAGCTCTGTTAATTGTAGAATCATAGAATGAATCATAGAATGGTTTGGGTTGGAAGGGACTGTTAAGATCATCTAGTTCCAACCCCTTGCTATAGGCAGGGACACCTCCCTCTAGACCAGGTTGCTCTTCTGAAAAAAAATCACAAGAAAATAAAAGATGCTCTAAAAGCAGTAAGAAAAGCGATGCTATCCTGCAGATAGTATGTGCTGTTTCCTGAGAGGCAGTTTTATTCTCCTAAATGAATGTTTTGAGGTTTATGAGTCATTGCCCTTTATCACATGGTGCTTTGTTCTTTTGTCCTCGGGCATTTTCTTTTTTTTTTTCCCTTTCATTTTTTTTCCAGCTTCTGTGACAGAGATGGACAGAGATGGTGAAAGCACTGAGGAGATGTCTGGTTTGTTTTACACTCAGATATAATTGCACAAATGCTAGAAAGTTCATAGCCTGACAGAATATGCAGTTCCCTGTCCTTATTTCCACCCTGTGCTGTCCCCATCTTCCCTTCTCCTCCCTTGGTTTGGGCCAATGCTGATTGCCATCTCAGCAAAGCATTGTTGGACTTTTTTAGCTTCAAGATGTTTAACAATTAATTGAGTATGTGTAGTATGCAGCCAATACCCACCTGCTGTCAGGGGGCTTGGCCAGTTGACTCTATATCTAAAATGTCATAGTACAAATATTATGAGTTAAAAAGGTTGCTGATGGCAATGGAGGATAAAGATAAATAAAGCCATTGCATTTTAGCTAGAGTCATACACTGAATAATCCAGAAGTTACATCTTTTGAAAACAATGCAGTGGAGAGTATAAAATCAAGTCTTCCTTAAAAAGGAAGAAGTGGGATGCTCTCTAATCTTTGAATATATAGATTTTTTTAGGGCTTTGTATGTACAAGAGATTCTGATTTTCAGTTAGTGTCTCCTTGCTACAAGTAAAATGACAAATGAAATTGATTATCTATTTCTAGGACAGATCTCTTGCTGGAAGGACAAACTGTCAAAGTGGTGACCTGGCTGTTATCTTCAGTGCCTGTAGGACAGCACAGCACAACCTGTGGTGATGGCAGCATCTTATGAAACAATCCATTGCTTTGAAACTGATGATACTGATAGTTGGCATTGCTTTTACACAAGCGTATGGCCAAAACACTTCCCAAGCAGTTTTTTCTAGCTTATATAACTATAACTATGTGACTTATATGTGGACATTTAGGAAGAACTGATGTACTATAGCCTTAGCAAGAATCACCTCTGTATTTCTCTATAACTGCTTATTAGATAAATTCATGATACTTCTTTAGTAATGGCAACAGTCTCTGTTGTTTTTCAGTGCTGATGTAACAACATCCTTCAGTTCAGAGTTATTTTTACCATCTGTTCCTCTATTTATAGCTCAAGATTGCTCCCCATAGCAATCAGTGAGTAAGGGATAGTCTGAGGTCCTATACAAGCCCTGCATTTTGAAGATCTGTGATCAGCTGCTTTTAAGGAGCAATGTGGTATGGCAGTGAAAACTTGGTGAATCATTTTAAGTACTTGTGTTTTCCCCATCTTGGCTGTTTTGTCTAATTTTATAGCTTTTATTTCAGTGAAATATAATGGCTATGCCTCTGAGCAATTTTTCTTTGAATCTTGATAAGTGCTGTGATGAGCAGGTGTGCCAGAGGCTCCTTTTATCAGATGCACCCAAGGTACGAGGCCCTGTTGGTGGTGGCTCAGTCCCTTTAGCCTTCACATGTAGATTTACATGCTCTGAGTGTCTGTTTTTCCTGTGGAATGGATGGATGTCCAACTTGGTGTGGCAGCTATTTCCTTTTTCATTCTGGTGATTTGTGGGGGAAATTAACCTACAGAAACGTTTTTTGTTTTCTTTTCCCCGAAGACAGTTCTCCTGTATCTGCTTTGAAAAGGTAGAAAGCTAGTGAAATAAAAGGTAATTAGAACTTAAGACCTGCCTGCATATTTCCATGTATTTAATCTTTACTTTTTCATTCACCCTAGCTGATCTTAGCCTTATGCCATTTTTTCTGTCTTTGAAAACACTGATGCTTGTCTAAATAAACTGGCCACCTATTCACACCTCCCCTCTTTAAAATGTTGTCTTCAAAAGTACAATTATATCCTTTGATCCTGAGATTTTGGTCTGGAGAAATATGCCTGAAAACAGTATACAAATTCATCTAGAGGAGGAATTCTCCTCAAGACTGAATACCTTGCAAAAGTATTTCTTGGTTTTGTGTGATTTTTCTCTTGGCTTCCTCCACACAGTCTGATTTGCTTTGATGCTGTACGTTTGGAAGACTATCACATGCATTACCAGGAAGATGTGGTATTTGCATGCCCTATAAACAGTATGCAGCTCTCTCAGGCTGTGCAGAAAGGCAAAGTCAGAAAGGATTAATCTTGTTTCTGTTTAAATTGTAAAAATAAATACACAAATAAAATAAGAGTGGTCAGATAGGTAGCATAGCAATTGTACTTCTTTCTCATAGTTTTAGACATATGTTGCAAATATTGCATGCATCCTATGTCCCATTCTTGTCCTTCTAGAGTCAATATGTCTAACTTGTTTCTTTGTTTGAGGAATGTAGATAAAAATCAACATTTTAACTCTGAAATATCTAGTTTTAAAAATGCCAGTGCTTGAGAGGGCAGCCAGAAAGAAAACATAATTTAAAATAAATAGTGTAATAAGCCAGTCTTATCTCAGACCTTCATGTATCAGACTCTTCTTTTTTGTTTCATTGGAGGCAATGGTCAAATCTTTGAGTGCCATGGAAATTAGAAGTTAGCATGTATGGGGATATTCTTCCCTTTGAAATCTGAGTTTGATGTTTCCTTAGAGCCTCATGTGTCTCAGACGAGCATTATTAATAGCCCTCACATGGGACACCCTGAAAGATGGCTACTGTGAAAAAGCTACCCATGGGTGCTTCTGAACTGTGCTAATTAAACAAATCTGATGGCTGTCTTGTCCCTGATGTCATAGACAATTTCCAGACAGCAACATCTTGCAGCTTGCCAAAAGAAGACTTTCAGGGAAGGAGAAAAGAGTAAATGGAAATTTCAAAATCTGTCTAAAAGCTCTAAAAGCTCTTGGCTTGTCTCTACTGCAATAAGGGGAATGTCAAGGATTTACAGTGGTATGTTAAGTAGTGATAGATTGGTAACTTACGTAGGTAAATCTTACTTGAGTAAGGTATGACCTCCAGATGTTTCTTCCAGCCTGAATAATTCTATGGTTAAATGGACATATGAAATATTATCTGTAAATGGTTGTAATGCTTCAAAATCTTGATCTGTCTGTTGTGGCTTGATTGTTAACATTTTCCTTAGAAGAATCTCTTCCATTTATTATTCTTTAAATTATTCATATTCCCTTAGAAACTTCTCTTCCACGCCTTTAGTTAAGCCACAGAAGGGGTCAAAAGCACAAGAATACTGAATTCTATTCTCATCTGTCTTAAAGTTATGTCTTTTTGGCCTCTGCTTCTATGGAAATGGGCTGTGCTGTTCCTGCATGTCTGCCATTTGATAAAATAGATGGAAAAAAAAATCAATTTCCCATATAAGAGTAGCAAGACAGTTAATTAAAATTTGTTTTGAAATTCTTGCGCAGAATATGTTATTTAATTTTTTGCCTCTTCTTCTTGTACTTTCCATAATATTATCATTCCATCCTCAGGCCTAATTGGATATTTTAGCTCTCTTAATTACTGCTTTGATCTTGTTTTTAGAAGTTTTCATGAAGATGGAGCTCAATGAAGTAATTGGAAAGATTCCAGTTGATATCAGCTTTGCATGAACCCCAAGATGCCAAACAAAATGTGATTACATAGCTGAAAATTTTTTAAGAAAAATACTTCAAATGTTTATTATCCCTCTTTATATGTGTTGTTTAGGTGATGACCTGAAAAAATCATGTCTGAGGTCCAGGGTACAGTCGAGTTTTCTGTGGAGCTACACAAATTCCATAATGTGGACCTCTTCCAGAGAGGGTGAGTTGATGTCTCTGTTAATTTGCAGCTGATTACAGAAGAGTTATTTTCAGAAAACAGTTACAAACCAAAACAGATAATTTTCTGCCAAATAGAGTTGTATTTCATGCAATCTCCAGGGCAGGGAAGGATGTCATTGGGCTTTCTCTGCTGTCAGGAAAGATCAATGTACATTACTTTCACTATAAAGTCAGAGTGACTGACTTATTTTTGTAATAAAGTATTGTAATGCTCCAAATTATTTTAAGCATCTGTTCAGACATAAGCACAATAGCCATTTTAAATGCTTCTGGATTGGTGTTGAGCCTCTGTGCTAAATGGTAACTGCTTTGAACTTTAATGATAATGCATTCACTGTAGAGTTGTAAATCCTACGACTATTCTTTTAATTATATTAATGGATGTTAATTTAACTCCACCATTTCACAGAGGAATGTGAATATTCCTGTTTCCCTAAAGTTCTAGTTCTGATGGCCATATGGTATTTTCATGTCCCTTTAAGTTAGAAGACGTACAACTTCTGCTTTACTCAAAATTTTGCCCCCATTCTTTTGCACCACTCTTCCTGATAGCCTTTATACTAACCCACTGGCTGTTGAATGGAGAAGCCTAACCAAATGTGAATAATTGTTCTACTTGCATATTGAACCGCACATTTTATCAGTGAGAAAAAGTATATTATACTAAAATACTTTTTTAAGAGACTAGAATACCAGATGGGTCAAAAGAATGTACTTCATGGACAACTGTGGGTCTTGTGGAATATTATTTTCTTTCATCTAAGATGGCCGAAGCATACAGCACATTACATACACTCTTTGATGCCTTAGTTTTGCAAAGGAATGTTTAATAGCTGATTTGTCCATCTTGAGTTTCATTTCTAGTGACAAAAATATGGAATTGGTTCAGGTGTTGGGATGAGTTAGTTAAAACTATTTCCATCTAGTTGTAGGCTTTTCTTGTTATTTGCTTTTACTGTGATGAATTATGTGTTAAAGATGCCATGAACTTGGATGAAGGAAGCACAGCTGTATTTTGTTTTAACAGCTGGCATTTGTCATTCTGTTAATGCCTCCAAGTGAATATCTGTCAATGTTCCATTAGAAAGCATTCTGACTATAACAAGTGCTTATGTTAAACAGACAAAAGTGCTCTGTGTTTGAGGTGTTTTGTTTATTTGCATTATAAGTGAAGATTCCTGTGTGCCTTGGTGTTCATGACCTTAGAAGACAATCCTTTCCTGTAGATTCTTAATTTGATGGTCAGTGTAATAATGTACTTGATCCTCCTCACATTTGAAAATGTGCACGCATCTGTGGCTTCAGTGATTTGTTTGGACTTCAGTGGTAGGATGCTCAAAGCTTAGACATCTCACACTGCTGAGCTACCTTTTTTTGTTGTTGTCATATAGACCTGCATCTGTGAAATGCTTTCTTTGGCTTTGACAGTCAGATCAAATCTCTGGTGTGGGGGTAGGCCTAGCACTAACACAGATAATATATTCTGCTGTCACACTAATGAGTTCCTAATTACACTTCCTTTTTTCTCCCATGTTGCTTACCCTGTTTCCCTGATTAATATTCCAAACATGCAGAGCCATAGGTTATACTACAATAATTTGTTTATTGAATTTTTTATTTCTTTGTAACCTGCACAGTATTATATGTATTTGCTTTTCTTTCATAATTTTACTAATTACGTTTCCAATAATATCATTTACTGCATCTCACATTTGCTGATCAGCATCCTCTGTCTGGCTTCATCTACTGAATAGCTCTTATCACTGTAGCATGAGAATGTGAAGAAAATGGGTAAATGATTTTGCCAAATTTCATTTTAACTTGGGCACAGTGTTTTTTTCCCCTACTACTGTTGTTGATATTCACAGTGGACATCTGGAATATCTTGGATTGACATATAATCTCTCTGGATGAAAGGATGGTAGAAGTAATGATAACAGGAATTTTCTATTTAACTAGTGTTTTTCTTCTCTGAGTACCTTGTAAATTGAGTCAATATCATTCTGTCTCACTGAAGGCCAGAAAGGTGATTTGTGAAAGGTTGTCCATCAGGATAGCAGTGGACCAGAAATTAATCTTAATTTATCTGGAGGCGCACTGCTGTGGTTTTTTAACAGCAAAAGCAAGAACAACAATGAAGAGCATTAATTATTAAGCTAATAAGTAAAAAAGGAAAAATCAAAACCAAGGACATGATTACATATCCTTAGAAATACATAACAGCCTTACTACTGACATCAACAGAAGTAGACTGGAGCTTCAGTCACCAAATTCTGTGGAACACCACTAGATTTGTGTGCCAAATTGACATTGGGCCATATGGTTGAAATTCCTGAGTTGGTACAACATAGCTGCAAAGAAATAGGAATGAAATTTTCAAAGCTCTTAGTCTTGGCTATCTTTTCTTCTTGGGAATCTGGATTGGATGACTGAATGTTGTCCCAAATTTCAAGTAGGGCAAGAAAATTTTCATAGTAACTACAGGTCTGTCAGTCTCACTTCAGTGCCTGGTAAGATTATGGAGATTATTCTGGGAGTTACTGAAAATCATGTGAAAGACAATGTAGACATTAGTCATAGTTTATGAGAGGACATTCCTGTTGAATTAACTACATTTTCTTTTATGATGAGCTTACCCATTTAGTTGCCCAAGGGAAGCCAGAAGATGTAATCTTTTGGATTTAAGCAAAGATTTCAATACTATTTCTCACAATACATTTCTGGACCTTAGAGAGGGATCTGGATGTTCTGGCTGATGGCAAGTTGAATGTGAGTCAGCAGTGTGCCCTGCAGCCACAAATACCAAGTAAGCATTGAGGTGCACCAAGCCCAGCACTGCCACCATGCAAGGGGAGGGTTTGTCCCCTCTGCTCACCACCAGTGCTGGGGGCAGTTCTGGGTACCACAGAAGGACATACAACTATTAAAGAGTGTCCAGAGGAGGTCTATGAAGTTGGTGAAGGGTCCAGAGGGTAAGGCATGTGATGAACAGCTGAGGTCCCTGGGTTTGCTTAGCCCAGAGCAGAGGAGCTGAGGGGAGGCCTGGTGGCGGCTGCAGCTCCCCATAGGGAGAGGAGGGGCAGCGCTGAGCTCTGCTCTCTGGAGAGCATGGTTGAGCCAACAGTAACGCTGTGAGAGAAGAGTCCTCAGTGCAAATAATGGCATGAATAAATCATCAAGGTTTAGCTAGAGAACGCTGGAAGAATCAGCCCTTCTGGAGCCATTAGGTGTTGGTTAGTAATCAGACTGATTAAGAACATGGTCTGCTGGCCTAAAGCCACAAAGCCGAAGTGCTTTAAAATGCTAGTCTTTCAGTAATGGTTCTGGTTCTATTTGTGGTTGCTCTGGAAGCTGTTTTGAACTGTGTAAGTACACAGAGGCAGTTGCCATCTCTCCTTTCCCATGACATGTGGAAACTCCTTAATCTACATGAATTCTACATTGTGATATTTTAATTATTGCCTTACAATCTAAAACTAATGTTTCTTAGCCTGTATAAATGGTTAATAGAGACTGATACAGAAAGCAGTCAGGGGCTTTTGTAAATACTTATTGTGGTTTTATGTTTCTTGCGTATGTAACAAAAAGAGTCATCAGTAAAATATATGTTACAGGTAGTTTGATCAACTATTGCTGTTTTATGTATCTTTTTTCTAAAGCACAAACAAAATAATGTCAGAATTTGCCGATATAAGAATTTAAATGCTGTAGGTACTGATATACAGGAAGAAAGAACCTTTTCTTTGGCCAAGCCAAGCGATTTACAGTGCAGTTTGAAAGACTGAGTAATAAGTAATGCAACTTCTGGAAAAGAAAGTATTTTTAAGTTTTCTGTCCTAATTCTTTCCATCACGTTCCACTTAATAACTGGTGACAGATATTTTCTCAAGTGAAATTAGCTGACTGATTCTGATTTTTCTTAATAGAGAAGGAAATAAAATTATCCATGGCTTCCAGAAATCAATTAATTGATTTGTCTGGTTCTGTCAGAAGTAAATCTTCTGCACCTCTTTTTCTTAAAGCATTTCAAAATATGTATGATGGATTTCCTTACTTAAAAACAAAACCAAACTAAAAGCAACAGAAAACACGCTAGCAAGTTCCCAAGATAAGTAACTTTTGGAGTCTGGAAGGGAATAGAGAGCACAAAGAAGGTGATACTCTGTCTCAATAACTTTGGGATTCTGGCAATTCTATGTTAAGAAACAAGGATCAAGGTGTGTCCTTACCACTCACAAGGTAGAATCAAATGCTTATCAGTCCTTTCACTCTTCAAAGTCAGGCTGTAATTTGTAAATGTCTAACACACAGGTGTTTGTGTTTAGAGAGTGATGATGATAAAAATCAGTGGAAAAAAAAATATTCCAGCTTCTAAACAGCATGCAGATTTGCCCGAGTGACCAGAGAAGTGCTCTCAGTGTTTCTTGTACCTTGCAAGAATCAAAGAACTCTTATGATCCAGACCTGTCAAAAAGATGATGGTAAATCTTAGCAGACAAAGCCTTTACATAGTAAAACATCCCTCTTGCCTATTGGATGGACAGCAGTGTTTCATGTAGTCAGTCATGACATATTCTACTTCAGTGGCACAGTGCACTATCTCCTTTCCTCAGCATGCAGGGGTTCTGCAATTAACTATGGTCTTTTCTGCCAGAATGGATACCTTGGAAATACAAATTATGATCAGAGATTTAGACCTTATTTCTTGAAGACTTGTAGGTACAGTGTCAGAATGTACAAGTGAATAAATAAAAAGTTCAGGACAGAAGCAAATCTTGTTACTTTTTTTCCCAGCTATACCCATTTCTTAAAACATCTAACCTGTAATGAAATATAAATCACTTTTAGACTGTAAATCTATTTCATTTTGAATGTACTTACCTAATTTATATAAGATGAATGGATTCTTTTTAATATAAATGAGATAAAAAGAAAATGAAGAGAGCTAACAGGCATTCCAGAATGATGTTTTTCTGGAGT